TTACACCCTAACCTGCAGTTCCACATCTCTACCACCCACTCCCACCCTTCGAGTGTGTGTTCATTGTGATGAGAAGAAGAAGAAGAAGATGCGGATGAGGATGAAAAAAAAGTTCTTTTTTATATTAAATTTTTTTCTCCATCACCCGTGAGTCTCCTTCTAACTGTGTCTAACTGTTTTTCCACCACCCCAAGCATCTATTTCCTCTTCCACCTTATCTTCCTTCCTCATCTTCATCATTCTCAACATTCCTTGTCTTTTATCTTCCATATCATCCTCATCTTCTGCCTCATATCAGTTGTTAAAAGTGTATCAAGAATCTACCTTATGTTGTTTAATCAGCTGAGATTGATTACTTTATATCTCTGTGTTTGTTATCATCATTTCATATGATATTATATCTGAATCTTCAACTGAACAACAAAAGATGATGATGATGATAAGAAAGAGAATGTAAGAGAAAAAAAAAACTTTTTCTTTTTTCGATTGTATTATTTTTTTCATCATCTTCTTCTCTTCATCATCATCTCTCTTCTTATCATGTACATGTAGATGAAGATTAACAAATGAAAAAGAAACTACAATTTATATTAACCATAGTAACCCAATTATCTTCCATCATCAATTATGATCATCATCGCAATTGAAACCTAATTAACCTGAAACAATTTGTCATCAAGCTTGCAAATGAAAAGGAGAAAAAAAAGAAATTACAAATTCGAAGTCGAACAAAAAACAAAAAAGTTCTAATATCAACTTTTTTCTTTGTCGAACTTGATTCTTATTCAATAATCAGTCACTCGCTCATTATTTCATCATGATAATATCATGATAATCCTCTGAATGATTTGGATGACAAAGCTTAACCATATTGATAAACATGATTAACTTTGATTGTTGTTGCCTAATCATTATGATGATGATGATGATTAGCACTTGATTATTATATGTATTAGCCTTATTAAAACAGTTTACTAATATTCAACAATCAATTTACTGTAACAATGTTTACTAATCATTAGTTAAGCTTAATCATCATCCCTTTTAACCGGATTTAATGAAATTACTTGTTTATCATAATCAATCAAATGAAATCGATCAATTTTTGTTTCATCCCAACCAAACTTGAAATATTTATAACCTGATTTACTAATTGTTATGAAATGAAAAGCCAACAATTTACAATTTTATTACGATTTCTCCTTTATTCTTAAGATTCTTGATTTAGTTTGGCAAAATTGAATTAGATTAACAGTCATAAAGTAATTAAATTTAGTCATTAATCTAATGTGACTTTTATAGTTAACTTACTTTGAATTTAGTTTAGTATTTTTTACCTGCTGCTGTTTACCTGATTGTTGATTGTTGGAAAAGGTTTCAACTGTGATAATCATTTAACTAACTAATCATTTGATTGTTTTGTTTGTAGTAATTGTAATTATATTATTATAATCAAGATAATCATCAGAAGCTTAATCATGAATTGGTTACACCTTAGAACCAAAAATTCTGGTTAAAATTAAGGAAGAAAATTTTTTTCTTCTCGTTTTCAATTCAAACCTACGGATAAAAATATAAAATTTTCTTTACTTTTTTTCTGTTGGAGAAAAAAAAAGTTGTAACAATTTAAATTGCTCGCCATTGATTTGATTTGATTGTAAATTAATCTGTTTCAACTATTACTATTACAATCTTTCAGTTAACTAATTGTTTTTAATTGAGTTGCTCTTTTTTGAGTTGTTGTAAATTGTTAATATAAATCAATAAAAACGTTAAATTAACAATCCGTAAGTAAGAAAAGGTAACTAACAATTTTGGATAGACAAACAATCAACCTTGAATTTTTTTGTTTGATTGTAAATGCTTCAAATTGAACAATTAACATTTAATTATCATCTGAAACATAGTTTATAATTTAGGAAAAAGGTTTCAATTGCAATGATCAAAATAGAGATCAAAATAATCAGCATGAAGCAACATTTAATTGTCGTCCCTATGGTTATTATGGATCATCAAATGAAATAAATTCAATCACAACAATTTAAACTGAATCAAGAGTTAATCGTAGTAATCAATGAGACACAACTGATTTGATTTTAATTTTAATTTTATTGTAAGCAATTATTAAGTCAACATGAAGATGTCATTTTTTCATTCTGATTCTTAAATTGTGATGAGTTACATTTTTCAAACGACAACATATCATTGTGATTACAATTGAATTAAATGATTAAATCATTGATTATGATGATGATTATGATATGTAAATCAAATCAGATTAAGCTAATTTAAATAACAACGGGAAGAAAATGTTTGGATAAAAGGGTTTGTTCATATTTCCATTATGATTAAATCTAAATTAGTGGTAGAATTCAGGATTCTGATTCGTTTTAATCTCTTTTTTTTCATGGAATCAATTTTTTTCCTTCATCCTTATCCTCATCAGTGTAGCATCTTCATCATCGAGGGGGAAAATGACTCAAATCCATCATCAACTCCCACTTATATCAAATGTTAATAATGATGATGATGATGATATTAATAGTTGGTTAAATTGTATTATAATTGTATCCGAAAATCAGGAATCTAAATCAACAGTAATTATTTGTTAGGAAAAGCAGGATGAGAATGAAAATTTCATGGGGATTTTTTTCCTGAGGTTTTTTTTGGTGAATTCAGTCATTTTCTAGAATCCTGGAAATATCATCATGATTGCGAAGACAGAGTTAGAGATGATGATGATGATGATGATTTAACTTGATTATCATCATTATTATTGTGTAATGTTGTTTATTGAATGTTAAGATAAACATTGTAACATATTTTCATTTAAGATCATCAGCAATCTAATAGCAATTTAATTGATTTCAAAGGATGATAACTGATGGGGATCATTGATGATGTGAACATGATGTTGATTATACAATTTGATCACTTTGAAAATGATTAACCTTTGATTATGTAATTGTAACAATCAGAAGAACCATAATTGTTGACAATTTGTAATTCATTGGAACTGAAAACTTGATCAGTTTAAATTGATTTCGAACTCGCTATCGAACTTGTTTATAAATTGTTTTTCCATCAACAATTACAAAGAGCAACAATTAATAGTTTGTCTAAACAATAACTTTCTTAAATTGGTTAATGGGATTTAATTGCTTTCACGCTGAATACAATTAACGTAAACACCAAATACCATGTGTTTAAATGTGTCGTTAATTGTTGATAATACAACAGAATTAGACAAAAGTTAAACTTACAAGTTTGTTAGTTGATTGTCACGAAAAAGTTTACAACAATTATGATAATTAATGTTCCCAGATTTTTTTTTTGTCAATTTTCCGAGTTAATCAATTCAATTTCTAATCCATTAATCCAATAATCAACAATCAACAATCAACAAACAATCAAAGTTAAAAAAGTAACTAATAATATTTACCCATCACAATTGTAACCATAAAATGAATCCAAGTGTAAATTTAAATATCATCTTGTAATCATAATAACAATAAGTTGAAACCATTAACAATCATAACAATCAAATGAAGAGTAATAAAAGTTAATCATTTACAATGGAAGATGATGATTTAAGTTAATAGTGTTAAATTGTGTCGAGAAAATTAAACTTTCTTTTAATCAATTTAAATTGTAAACTTGTTCAAAAAGCAATAACAGTAATAATAATATGGCAATGAAAATAGTCCATAGTGTTTCTTGTGATCTATTGTTAACAATTTAACTTTAATTGTTACAATTTGAAATGATTTTTTTCTGTTAACAGGTAAACAAAAGGATGAGGATGATAATTGATGAAGATGATGAAAACGATGATGATGATGATGATCAGGATGAGAAATTGTTACTCAACTGAACCAATGGTTATGTTCAATGGCTCGTGGTCTCTTTTTTTTGTGTTAATCGTCATGATTAACTGATTGTTGTTCACTTGATTGTTGTTGATGGCATTTATATGGACCATGGTTAAATATATTATCTCCATAAATGTCATTTGAAACAATTTCAAAGTGATGATTAGATAAATTGTCATCAATTCTGTTAAGTATCAATGTGTTTACAGGTAAAAAGTGATTAACTGATTGTTGTTGTAATTTATTTGATATTTTCAATTGTTTATTAGTTGATTTGGTTACATTGATTATTATTATGATTTGTTTGTTGTTCGGGACAATTTATATAACTCATTTAATGATAATCATGTTGATTAGACTTTTTGGTTTTGATTGTTGTTGATTGATTAATAACATGTTGTTATTGTTATGGTGGCAATGATTAAATTGATTGCTTTTGATTTATTGATTGTCTCTGATTGAATATTGAAACTATCAATTATCATCATCTTTGTAACTTTGATCACAATTTTTTTTATCATAATTTAGTTGATTTGTCATTTTCTGCCTTTTATCTGGAGTTCAAGTTATCATTAGTTGACTTGGTAAATCTAATTGTTGAAGACAATCAATTTAATTCAGTTTGATTCAATTTATCTGAATTACTTGGAAATCAAATTAATAACAATCGGTTGATACTCAACATATTGATTGAAATTGTTTTCATTGACATTACTATGATTACTTAAGTTGATCAATTTTGTCCAACAATCAACAATCAACTTTAAATCAAAAGTAAAACTCCAAACAATTAAAAGTTTCATTCTCAAAATCTTTAATCAAATTAAACTTTTCATTTAAATATTTTTCTTTTTCACCAAATTACATTTAATTCCAATGATTCCATTATTAGATTATCCGACTCTTCCACTCCAACGTTAGTATAAAACAATTAAGAATAAGAAATTACAATAATTTGATTTGTATTGATTATCTTTTAATTTAATTCAATTCAATTTTCTGGTCAAATGATTAGCTCAGTCGTGACATCTATCGACTTATTTAGTCAACAACTTTTTAGTTTCTTTTTCCATCCACAGATGGCAGCACCTCATTCTCCATGTGATGATTGTTTTTGCTTCATTTGTTTGGATTTTATTTTTTGATTAACTTTCTGGTCAACAATTAAATTGTTTATTGTAATTTTGAGATTTGATTAATAATCCAACATTGACATTGGTTAGATTATCCTTTGAGTTTACGATTGTCATCTATGTGAGAAGTTTTTGTTCCTTGGTGAATATTTGATATTCTTGTTGTTGTTTTGATTTTGTTTTCTCTTTGGAAAAAATTTTTTGTTTATTTTGTGTCTATTGGGATTTTATATATATAAATTATCTCTCATGGCAAATTATCTTTGGTTTGAATTTCTTCTTCATCCCAATTTATTGGAAAAACATTTAAATGAGAAAAATGATCGAAAACCAATTGACCTGATAATCAATTTTCTTAATAATGCTTCAATTGATGGTTCGGTAAATGGTTCTCTTGGTGGAAGTGATCTTCTTAAATTGTTATCGGTAAAGGTTGGAGCCTTTATTGAATTTGATTTGGATATTTTAGAAGATCAATTACCGATTACCATGCAGTATACTTTGTTAAAAGAGCTGATTAAATTCACTGAATCAGCAAATCCACCGATCTCGGTTCTTAAATCAGTTCATTTACAATATTTCCGTTGGGTGTTGAGATCAATTATCCGACTTTCTTATCCAACTAGAGGACCAAGAGGATTATCTATTCCACCTCAGATGATGCAACAATTGGACCCTTGTTATGTTCCCATTGAGGTGTTGGAAAGTATGTTCAAAAAGTTGAGGGAATTGTCACCTGAAGCTCTTAATAATTTGGAAAATTTTCTCGAAGATAAAAGTAACTCTTCAATATGTCAACCATTACTTGACTGTTTTCCAAGTTTTTTCGATTCAAATTCAACAATCAAATGTGATTGGACCAAAGTGAAAGAGCTAAACATTTCCAATTTATTCGATATCGTTCATTATGAGCTTGGAAAATGGTATTTTTTCAATGAGAATTACGTTCAATCAGATAAACATTTTCGTTCCATCAATCCAGCCAAATTAAACGAAACCGAAACATTTAAAAATTTATCTCAATATCTGGAATCATCTAAAGAATTGTGTAGTGAGATTACCACGAAAGACACTAGTTCCAAGTCATTTGAAACCTATTTCGATGAGTGTCTATCAAATGCCGTGAAAGGAACATCATGTGATCTCAGTTTCGTTGAGCGAACAGTAAACCTTCAATTAATTTCTACCAAACTCAGCTCATTCTACAGTCAATGTGCCAATGATATTGAAAAGAACAACATCCGTCGATTTTCCTTCTACTTGATGAGCCGTTTAAATGGTCTCAAAGAATTGATTCCTGATATAATAGAACCATTAACGACCAAAGTCAAAGAAAATGGGACTGGTTGTTTAATCACAAGCTCTCATGATGGAGGTGAAGAAGAAGGTGAAATTGATGCTGTCGACGATGAGATAGAAAAAGATCCCGAAATTTTACTTTTGGAAGCAACAGTTCCCGAAGCAATTCAAGATCTAATTCCTAAAGTGGCTAAACCTCCGCTCATGATCAATCGTAACTGGGATATTCCCTTGGCTCATGCACATTGTCTCAAAAATTTGCCTCCCTCGCAATACAACAAGTGTCACATCGCTTTGGCTAAAGCAGCTGAACTTCGTCGAGCTAAAATGTACATCGAGTCCAGAATTTTGTATCTCTCCCTTTTAGAAGATTATCAAGCCTCCCTTCCCAATTTAGCCGATATTATCACATTTGAACTTCTCGAAACTGACCTACAACATCACGTTGAAAGTAATGACATTGACGAGAGACGAATCTTGGAATTACTGTCTAAATGTGAGCGAACTCTAAGTAATGAGAAACTTTTAGCCGATTTACCATTAGAATTGGTTGATCTTTGTTGCCTTTTCCTCTTGGAATCAAGTCCATCTACATTGAAAGATTTTGTCAATTCGAAACATCCACTTCTCCGTTTATCATCACTTCTCTCATCTTTAACAAGCACCGATTCTCCCAATCATCATCCCATTAAAGCGAAAGACTTATGGGATTTAATTTGCAACGTTCTCCCCTACGATTTTAACAGAATGTCCGTAAATAAAAGGCCGATTCATCTTCCACCCTCGAGTTGGAGTTTAGACATTTTCTGTCAATTTATCAAGAAACTAAAAAACTCTTCTCACATTAACCTTCTCACCTCTTGTTTAATTAAAATTCTCAATCTAAAGAGAGACATTTCTGGAGTGGAATTGACACTTTTACCACTACCCACCTTCCAATGGCCCACCTCACTACCATCGAGTTCAGTTAACATAAACTTGGCCAGTATATTTGACACACTTAAAATTCTGATTAAAAAAGGATTATCCCTCAAACCAAATGAAATTAATCTTCTACGCTGTAAAGCTGAACTGTCCATCATCGAAGGTCAATATGCTGATGCCATGAGTAGCTATTTAACTCTCATGATAATAACCACAGAATATTTCACCGTATTTGGAACTTATCCCGAAGAGGAGAAAATTATCCAACGAATGATCCATTGTTCCACTAAATTAGGTTGTCACACTCAAGCTGCAGTTCTACATCAAATGATCAAGGAGCCGAATTATGGTCTTATTTTCAAAGGATTAAGCGAAAAATCTTGCAACGATAGTTGTGACGATTTATATGATTCCTTTTGGGACATTACCATTTTAGAATATCTTGTTAACCTTCACACAAGAAGAGGAGAAATCGATCGAAAGAATAAATCTCTCCAATTGATTGGACAATCAGAACTTAATGCAAATAATTCGGAAGATATTCTCACCGAAGCAGCTAATGTAAGGAAGGGAAAATTTTTTCGAACTTTAGCAAAAAAATATTTGTAAATTATCCAATCATCAAATTGTAATAACAAGATCGACATCCACGAAATCACCATCGCCTTTCATCAACATTTAAAAATCATTCAATCTTAATTTAAATTATTCAACATTATTGATCAAATCAACGCAAACCTAGTCCGATATTGACCATTTCTCCAGTAAAGAAGAATAAGAAACAAAATGTTCCAATTCCCCAATGGACAAAAGCTCATTTAATATGTTCACCCTTAAGGTTATCAAAACCTTAGCCATGAATCTATTCAAAAGTGGCACTAATGTAACTAATAATTATAATAAGAGGATTTATCATCTTTAATCGAATTTAATTAACTTAGTTTTCAATGTATTCAGAAAATGAAATTGAATGTCTAAACACTGAGTGGAGAACAAGAAATTAATTTTAATCATCACTCGGGTTGAAATGATTTCAACTAAAAGAGAATGTTAATTTAAGCAAACAATAGACAGAAGAAAATATTGGATTTAATTGTGAATTGCAAGCGCATCTGATCAGTCCAGAATTATCTATATTAATGATAGTGAGTATCCCGATAATCTCCAAACTTTCTACAAATGCTTGGTGATTTAACGATTAAACTAATTGTCAAGGATTATTTCTGATGTTGCTTAAGATCTTTATTCACTAGGGTTTGCCAAGATAAACCAGATGGAGTTACTAAACTCTATGTATAAATACACTTTCGTTCAACCAGTCAAATGTCGAATTTAATTTGATTGAACACGTATTATCCACCCTTAATTTGTTTACTTATTCATTTAGAGCATTACATTATTCCATAGACAAATATGGATTCTATGGCTGAAGTAGTTTTTGAGTAATCGTGAAAAGCTGATTAGAGTTGTAGAATAGAGTTGAAAGTGAAATCGTGGGCTCTTTATCCTTAGCTCTTCCATCTAGAGATAATAAAAAGATAAATGAAATGAAAAATGAAAACTTGGTAAGATGAGCGTTAATGGTTGGAGGTCTGGTTATTCAACACTTATCGATGGTGTCCATTAGTTCAAAGTGTTGAAATGAATTTTAATTAATTGAGTTTGACTTGCCTTTCTGTCGATTTTGATTAATGAAGATAACTAATTATTTAAACAAACATTAGGATAAGTGTGTTGATAGCTATTAGACCTCAACCATTAACGATCTTCTAACTTTATTTGATACTAGAAAATTTGCACTTTTGGGTATTTGATTCATTAGTTTGATCTCTTGTATTCACTATATTTCTACGTCCAGTTGAGGAAGATGACCTTGAAGATTTCGATGACTTTTTGACTCTTTCGCTGTTTTTCCTGTAAAGACAAATAAAAAAGATAAAAGTTGAAGGGAGTTACATCAGCAACCTTCTTGGACCGTAGATTCATGATCTAAATGAATAAGTAAACAAATTAAGAGTAGATATCACGAAGGAAGAATGTAAATTTGACCGATACTCAGTTGTCATATTACAAGGTCAAGGTCATAAAGGTTATTCTGAAAGGAACGCACTGAAGGTCATTTGAAGAAATTTTTTCAAGTTTTAGGATTAATTTGATATGCTCTCTCATCCGGTGACCTTTAAATGACATTTCAACGTTTCCTTCAGGAAATGGCCACAATAACCTTGAAAATTGTAAGGTCAAGCACTTCAATTCTGCTCAGTCCTCTTGTCAAGTTTACATTCATGTGAGATTCAGTTCTTAAGATACAGTATTAATATTCAGGTAAATAGCCTAGTGGACAAAAAACGCCCAACGTAATTAAATACGATACATTTATCATAGTAAAATAACAAAGCTAATTACTCGTCAAATAAGTTAATTAAAACGAGGATAGTTGATCGATTCTCAGTTTATAATCATTTTATTAGTAATTGTGATAATCCAGAATCTGAAATCAATTGAAACTGCAATCAGTGAGATTGATTCCGTGACTTTTATTCAATTAATTGTTACCAACTTTTATTTGCGGTTTTTTCTGCTAATTTTTTTGAGAAATTGTTTCAATCAAGGTTAATTGTGTTCGTTGATTATTGTCTATTATCAGACCTGTAATGATTTCGCAGACGAAGATAATTGTAGCAAACAATATTCCATATCCAAAGTCGGCGAATGATTGAGAGAAGTTTTGAAGACTTAACGGCTTATAGCCATAGGTCTCATATAAGGTCGGCTTTTTATGGAACGCAGTTCGGTGAAAGCAGCCGCTTGTCGGATCATTACATTCACTTATCAATCGAGCCCAAGTACCTTCGTTGTGAATGATTATTTGGCCCTCTAGTGCTCTGTAGGCAATTCTAATAATCTCTTCGCGAGCTTTTTTGGGCAGCGATCGACTAATAAGCCAAATGTTAAGTGTAACCTCGAACGGAACAACTGATCTGTACCAAGGTTCATTGAGTGGAGGTTCAATCACACTACAAACAGCAGTTCGAAAACAATCTGACTCAGTGTTGGTGTCAATGGTAATTATTTTGGACGGAGAATGGGAAGTAACTATTTGGGTGAAATTCCAAGATGTGGCTGTTTGTGCCATTTTAAAAGTTCGCGTTCATGAATCGAGTCTCTAGCATGTAAAAGATGATTACATCTACCGACTCCGAGTACTAAGTAGATTACATCTTCCGATTTTTCAACAGCATTTACGATGTCACTTAGCGTCTCGATTGTTTTAACGGGCTGGGTCGATGTTAGATCAGTGGTAAATGAGCCTGAATAAATGATAGAAATGCAGAGGGTAATAAAACTTGTCGATAAAAAGATTGACCTGAGATGAAATTTCGTGAAATAATAAGAAGCAGAGCCTCGACCCAACAGGGTCGCGATTACAGGCCAAAAATTTCCAAACTCTGATCCTTTATACGTGATAACCATTGGAAATAAGCATGAAAGTAATAAGAGAAATCCAAACAAGGCCAAAACGATGGGAGGCGAAAATATTGACAACGATTTGAGGACATCTTCACGAACCACTTCGGTAGTCGGTAAAACCGATGTGATTCCACACGAATTCTCACTGAATATTGGCCCAGTGACGATCCCGTTAACACTTGAAGGAATCAAATTCAACGGATAAGGATAAGAGCTCAGATGAGCTTCACCTCGTTGGATCATTCCAATCGCACCAGTACAATTAGCTGCATTCTTACAAAGGCCAAACTCAAATCGATCGACAGTAAGTATTTTAATATTCAGCGAATTCAATAAGGCCAAATATTTGACCCCAATCGAACGCAAACATCCACCGAAACGATTTCTCGAACTATCATAATAAAGAATCGGAGGATTATTTCTTGTTAGAATCGTAACATTAAATTTCATCGCAATTACAATCAACAAATTACTCTGATTCCAATTCCAATGGTTTCAAGTGTCTTCTTAATGTACTGGATTAGTTTTGATGCTTTTGTTTGGAGAGAAATGTTAATAGATTTAAATTGTTACGATCGTGATGCTAATTAATATCAACATTGGATTTTTAATCATCCAATTGATCAACAATTTAAACCAAGAATACAAATTACATTAAATCCAATAAATATTGCTATTAAAATAATGATCTTTAACCATTAACTAGCACGTTCTCAACCCTAATGATTTGGTTTGTTGGTAATTACAATTAAGACGAGAAGATTATTAATAATAAGATTAATAGAAATCAATGAAGTTATTTTAATTCTTGGTTGAACAATCAATAAATTGTTTGAAAAAAATAAATATTCATTTGAATTGAACTTTTATTTATATGAGAAAACTATTGATTACAATTAATTTAAATTAGTTTTGCAAAAAGTTATATGTATTGTTTTTCCTTAATTAGATATTTTAATTACTTTTTGTTCAATAGTTTAAATTGTTACATAGATGATAATTTAATCCAACACCCTGAAGAATTAAATTAACTTTTTATTCTTAAATTAATCTTTGTTTCTATCAAACAATTAATCATTTATTCTGAGGGAATTTTCTGAATTTAATGGTCATTACAATTATTAACTATTCTCATAAAGAGACTTGATTGTGATCTAATCAGCTGATGATTATTTGAATCAATTACTGCGATTGGTGATGATTTTGATTCTATTAGTGTTTTCATTTGGTAAATCATTCATTATGGATGGTTTAACAATCAACTTTGAGAGACACTCGAACATGAATACAATGATTGTGATTAACAAGCCGAGGCCAAAATAGATGAACGATTTAGTGTAATTGCCAAAAATTAACGCTTGGTACCCGAAGACCTCGTAAAGGTTATTCTTGTGACGGAGAGCAGTTTTGTGTAAACAGCCTCCGGCATCGATTGGGTCAAGAAATTTGGACAGATGATGTTTGTAATAATCGTCGGTGGCCTTGAATAGATTAGATTCAAATAGTCTATAATTTACTGATCGAACACGATCTTTAAGCGCTTTCGATAGATTTGCGTTGATCAGGCCAATACTTACTGGGGCTGAGAATGGAGGTTGCGATCGATACCAATGTCCAGATTTAACATAAATAGTGTTACAAAGGGTCAATCGTAATCTATCAGATTCTTCAATCGTAGATAAGCTGATATGATTATCTAAGGATTTTCTTTTCCCGACTTGATCTAAGATCAAGGGTAAAAGCTTCGAGTACGAACCGAAGATAGTTACATTTCGAACCTGTTGATAAACATTTGATGTACCGCTTTTCAAGACCGGTGAACATTTTGACGACAGAAATGAAACCACACAATGATCATGTTTAGACGCTTCGATTACATCGTCCAGAGAATCTATTAGCTTTGGTTGGGTCAACGAGGTTAAATCGGTGGTGAATGAGCCTGAATAGATTATGGATAAAAGTAAAGAGATGAAACTCAACAGTAAAAGGATTGAAGAGAATTTATTTCTTCTTAAAAGTGCAACCGATGAACTTTCTTGACCGAAAAAAGTGAAAACCAATGGTCCAAGAATCGTTTTCGGCCTTGGTTTAGATTTCCGTGTCCAATTGTGTAAAGACAATGGAAATAAGGATAACAGGAGTAATAGAAATCCAAAGAAGATGATAACTTTTGATGAGGAAAAGATCGACATCGATCTGAGAACATCTTCACGAATTATTAACGGACTTTGTGGTGATGAGAATATGTTGCAAGAAACTTCATCCAAAACTGGACCTAAAGTGATCCCGTTCAAATGCGAAGGTACCGCTGACAGTGGATAAGAGTGAAGGGCAATGTCCGCTTCTCCTCGTTGAATGAAACCAATTATTCCGGAACAATTATCTCCATCACAAATACCGTAATCAGCAGTTCGTAGGCCGACGATCGTGTAATTGAATTGGTTAACCAATGAGAGCCTTCTATATGTGTACGAGGCCAAAGGTCCAATACAATGGTGAGAATCGCAGGTCGAGTATGGAGGAGTTGAGTAAACAGCCACTTTCAAATTAGTTGTCATTTGGATTTTCATTTGCAGTTGATTCACTTAATCAACATCTTATTGTCGAACTGTTGATTTGCAACTTTTTCCTTCGACTATTTATCCTTAATTGTTAATGTACAAATCGTGCCATCAATGAGAATTGCTGTTTGTTGTTTACACTTTTTGATCGTTTGTTTGGTTTTGTGAACATTAAAATTAACATTGAACATTAGAGGAAAATCAATTTTCTGAAGAATTACAATGAATACAAATCAGATAATTAAGATGAGTTTCGTTTTAAGAATACACCAAATTTACACTTATAATTAAGGAAATGATTCAATTATTTAAAAGGGAAAAGTTTATTACAAAAATATCACATCCACTTGAGAATTGTTTAAATATAATTAGATCAAATTCATTGATTAAAATTATCTTCACGATAGAAATAATTATTCAGCTAATGATTAAGTTTTTCTTGTTCCATGCAAGAGATAAAGATGAAAATTTGATTGAGAAATTTGTATATATAAATTGTTAGGAAAAAATCATTCAAATCTAATTGTCACCATGGAGCATATGTAGATTTGTCAGTCATGGGCTTCAGTTGAATATTAATTGTCATTTGAGGAATAGTTCAGTGGAATAATTAATAGCCAAAAGTAATTAGCTTATTATTTTCATTTGCATTCGTTAAGTGTTTGTCATGGATTAATTAGATTTTTTCGCTGCTCGAGTAACTCGTTTACTGGCTGGTGCGGTTCTTTTAGCCCTTTTCGGGGCAATTTCTTTGGTTAATTCTGCACTTTTTGATGCCTCGGGAATTGTCGGTGGTAGAGATGGTGCAGGTTCTAATGGAGGTGTTGGCACTGGTGAATCAGAGGATGCTAATGATGGAGATGTTGAATCACAGCTCGGCGATTCGGATTCATTGGCTAATGGCACTTTCTTTGTAGTCTTGGCACCTTTGCGAGGTTTGGAAGGAGCTTTTGGTTTAGCTTTGGCCCTTGATTTCGGCTTTGGTTCGGCTTCTGTGACATCATCTTCGATCGGTTTCATTTCCACATCCTGCTCGTGTTTTTCTTCCGATTTAGTTGCAATTAACTCAGGTTGTTTCTCCTCTTGTTTTGATTTTTCATTCAATTCTACTGAGTTTTTATCGTTTGACATTTCGATTTGTTGATTGTCTGAACTTTTTTCTTTCTCTTGTTGATCTTGTTTCTCCTCTGGTTCATCTTTTTTACTTTGTTTAAAATTTCTCAATGGATTTGACAACAATGGTGAATCTTTCCTTTTATCGTGAACAAATTTCTTCGCTTTTTCGGCCTGAAGTCTTCGGGCCTCAGTTGAAAGACGCCAGGCTCTGTCAATGACAACTTCTCGAGTTCGTGAGATTAGTTTCATTTGTTCTGATTTATTTTCGGTAAAGAAAACATCATGAAAATCAGCTAATGATTTCTCCAATTGTACCATTAACCTTCGATGAAAGTCAATCTCTTCTTGGGCAACCTGATCTTCACTTCGATAATTATCTAGTAAGATAATTGTGTCTTTGATTGTCTTGATTAAATTTTTCACTTTAGATGTTGTCATAAGTCGTCTTGTTAAATAGCCTTTTGCCATTGCTGGAAGCTTTTGAATGACCGGAACTTCAATAAGCTTTTTTAATTGTTTCCAACGAAGCTCTTTAGGATTAGATTTTTTGTCTCTCCAATTGTTGAGATTAAAAAAGTTCCATTGACTTCTCCGTTAACCTCTCCATTAATAGTTCCATTAACAGTTCCATTCATTAAAGATTTTCCTTCAACATCATAGTTGATCTGTTGACCCATTGAATTAAGTCGATCACACATTTCAACCTCTAATTCATCCAACTGATGAACTATTGATTGAACTTGTTGTCGCAATCCGGACAATTTAAGGGTTAAATCTTGTCGTAATTGGAATAAATTTTGCCAGCAAATAGTATTTGTAAAGTTAAAAGATTTGGAGGGATCATCTTGTGTTCTGGTTTGGTTAAATTGATCTGGTTTACAAGATGATGGCGGTGGTAACAATGTTTTCACACTATTAAATGAAGATCCAGATGAACATGAACCTGGTCGAGATCCATTTTTACCAATAGAATTAAAATTTTCTTGATTTAACTGGATTGCCAATAATCCACTATTCTCACTTGGACCCGGGGTTGTCAGTGATTCTTTTGATTGTAAACTATCAAGACGAGTTGAGTCAAGAGATCCCAATGAACCAGGTGATTGACAGGGGGTTGAATATAGAGAAGAATTGGTACTGAAGCTTGTTTTCATACCCGATGATAAGGAGGACATGATTAATAAAAATTCTACCCCAACTAAAGGATTAAGAAAAAAAAACAAAAGAAACAAAAAAAATCAAATAAAAACCGTTGGAAAATGTTGACTACTTTTCTGTCACTAAACAGATTTAAAAGTCAAAAGATTTACAAAGACGAACAACAAGATGCGTAACAAGAGTTCAAGATCAATGAGAAAATCGAAATTAAAATAAAATTCATAGAACAATTAAAAATTACTTACCAATTAAAAGTCTAATTAAAGGTGAACATCAACACAACATTTGAAAAGTGAAAATGAAGTTAAACTTATGACCCTTGAGAATTAATTTGAATTTCCCGCCAAAAAGAATATGTGCTGACATCTGGATTAGTGGAAATTCATATCAACATGAGAGAGGAAAAGACAAAAATCTTAACCAGTTTGTTTTTAATTGTTCTAATTGAAAGTTAATTTAAGGTGATTATTTAACGATTAAATTTGTTTCCTCGACAATTTAGATTAACTTTAAACGTATATCAAGTGATTTCTTTGATGATTTCAGTTTGAAACTTTTGCTTTTCATCTTTTGATAAACATTCAAATGGTTCGAATGATTTTGTTAATTGTTGTTGTCTCTCAACTTTAATTATTAATTTGATCTCATCTCACATTGTTGTTTATTGACATTTAAAATTGATTTTTTTGGTAAATGGTTAAATTTGTTTAAAGTTAATTGGCATCATTTATGTTGACTGGTATCCCTGCTAATTGGTGGAAAGATATACAATGAATCAAAATTCATGATCCATTGATAATCCCAGCGAACCAGGAACAATTAAAATTACAACAATAACAATGGAAACATCATAAGAATACTCAATTTTACATCATTAATCAATAGAAATTAACTAGTAGATTAATTAATCTCTTTAACTTATCTATTTGATTTTTGTTTTCCAAAAAGAAAGAGACAATTTATCAAGAACGCCTATCAATATCTACTCTTAACCTAAAACAAATGTTATTGTTTATTGAAGTTTGTCAACTAATATTTTATTATCAGATTTGGTTACAAACAATTAGCTTCATAACTAATGTTGTAATTGATCAACTGTGAATCGTCAATCTTTTAATGACATTGAAAAGTTTTAAAGACAATCCAGTTTTTAATCATATTCCAACCAACAACAAATCATCTTCATCTTTAAAAACAATTAACTCTCCTAAACATCAACTGTGTTCACTTTTTTGTGATTTATTGTGATTTCCATTGTTTTAAACTAACCGCATCTTATATTTTCCACTGATAATATTTCACACGAGTAACTTTCGATCAATAGATTCCCTCTCTCTCTCATCTTATCTCCATCTTCCAACAGACATCTCCTTTGCTCTCCCATAATCCATTCCTCTACCATTATTTTCCCACCCCACTCATCTTATAGAGAGAGAGAGAGAGAGTTTAATATTCTCCCTCCTCCTCCACCTCCTAGTCTTTGATAAACCTTTCGAGTGAACTGTCTGGTGACCTTGGAAATTGACTTGTAACCTGATCATTGATCAATATGTGTATTCAAACATTCACCCGATAATCATAAATGAATCAATTTCCACCTCAAATGGTTCGTGCTGATGATTATTATTGTTAAATTGTTCATCCCAATCTCATTCTCGATGGTTACATGACAATTAATACAAACAGATAAAAGAAAACAAGTTTTTGGATTAACTGTGGTTTTCCTGATTTGATTGTTTACCTTTTTGATTCGGTTCTTTTCTCTGAGTAATCATTGAAACATCGAAAATATTCCGATCGGTCGCCATCTTTATCCCAACTGTTTTCTTTATTCTCTATTTACTTTTGTTTCTTTTCTAATTCGACTTTTCTCATTCCAGCTGATTTCTTCTTCTTTTCCATTGATATTGTCATATTATTGTTAAACTCTCTCATTACAATGGCTTCTCTTCTGGTCAAGGCCATTTACGATTATCAAGCAACGGATCTTAAAGTGTTACATTGTTCAGGCGGTGAAAGATTTATCATAATTAAACAAACTGAACCTCGAGGTGATTGGTTATATGTTGTCAATTCTAAGGGTAAATTGGGCTACATTCCAGCCAATTATACGGAATCCGATTCACTAGATGATCTTAAACTATTAGAATTGATTGATACCATTATATCGGTTCTGGATGCCGACCACAATGATCCAAAATCATCACAACTCGTCAAATCAATCATGCTCAAGTGAAATTAACACAATTAAGATGTGAAGTGATCAGTCGTCAACAGGGTAAGAAAACAATCACAACTCTATCAACAAATCATGATACTAATGGTGGTGATGAGGATAAATCTCCAATGAGAATTTCAACCGATGAAATGATTACACTTGATTCAGTTGAGAGAAGGATAGAAAATAATTCCAATCAACAAAATCCCGATAAAAATGGACTTGATAATATCGAGAGTAAAGATAAACCTTTACAAATCAACGATCATGATAATCGGTTAAACCTTAAATCAGCTGTTGAAAAATCTGAATTTGGTGTTCAGGTTGATTTATTTGAACCATCACCAAAATCAAGTGAACCAATTGAACTGATTGAATCCAATTTAGGTGAAGAGTCAACAAAAATAACAACAGTTGAAATTGATGATTCCCTTGCGGCAGAATTAATTGAAAGAGTTCGAGTATCAACTGAATTAAGTCATGGGATGTGTAAACTTACCATTGAGACTGTGATAAATTTTCTTCGTGAAAAAATGCCCTTAATTGAAGGACCTATGACCCAATTATTTAATAAACTGGAAGCTGTTGACCAATGTCCATCTCCATTGGTGATGAAAAACTCATCGGATCTCATCAAATTAAGAGGATTATTTGACAAACTATGGATTTGTAAAGCCGATGAACAGCAAAGAGGTTGGCCAATTCACGATGACGAGGAAATGGAGACTAGTTTAATTGAGATGGTTAAATTGTTGGCAAATGCAAATCCAACAATTTGTCGAGAGGCGATGTTCACAAACAATTGTGACAACGTTTACATGATAATCAGCTATTTCCATGAGGAGACCAAAAAATCATTGAAAATGCAACTTTATTCAGTTCTAATGGAAATCATTCGTCTTAATGATAATATGATTGAAGATACATTTCTATCAACCGTTTTACCCGCTTCTTTGGCCAATGAGATGATTAACCATCGAGATGATATCGAACGCTGGTCAAAAGCTTCCATATTATTTACTTACGTTTTTGGTTCTGGTCAAAAGCCACCAATTAACATGTATGAACATGTAAACGAAAAATTTGTCAACAGTCAATTAAATCTAATTGAAGGTGAAGATATTGAAGGAAACAAGATTGACCATAAAATACCACCGGAGATGAGTATACCTCCAATTTTGGCCTACAATTTACACTTCGATCTAAATGAATCCAATTTGGTTCTAAAGGCTTTGAAAATGAGGCCAAATGTTAAATGCCTTATTGAAAATTTAGTCTCTTACCTTAATTGGGAAGAAGATCCAACCCTGTTAATTAATTATTTTGGTAAACCAATGAAAACATGTGATCGTCCGAACGCTGTACACAAATTGTTGACCGAAGTCTTCGAAGACGCTGATCTGGCCAATCTTTGTTATTATAACGATGTTCGAGTCATGATTGATATACTTGTTTCTCACCTGAATAATATTCAACCTGGAGATGAGAATCGTTTCTCTTACCTTAAATTACTTTACAATATAATTAAGAATTCTAATTACAAAGAGGAGCCTCACAAACTTGAAGAGGTTACCAAATGTGTGGATAATATTTATTGCGCTGAATCAACACCAGAAAATGAGAAACGAATGGTCCGAATGATTAAGGAATTGTTATCCGCTGAGACGGTTTAATTTCCATTATTTTCTTTTAAGAATTTAATTCGATTCAATTGAATTAAATTGTTATCAATTTTATCGTCATCATCATCATCGTCTTCATCAAATTGTATGTTCAACTTTGGTATTTCCAGGAAAACTCACAATTCCAATTGATTGATTTCAAAAATTTAATCAATTTCCATCAACTTATACACAATAATTACAACAAATGGACTTTATTGATAATTTAAAAATCTCATCGTAAAACAATTAATTAACTGCACAAATCAAATTCATTTCAAATCTTCAATTGTTATTCATCTATTTATGTTCATCATAACTTTAATTAAGTTGATCATCTCAACTGATCAATAGTGTTGCTGGTCCCAGAGAATTGATATCAAAGATATTGCTCAAAATGATCATTGATTGGATTAAATTAAGCAGTTAATTATCTGGGATTTAACTTTAAAAGTTAACAATTAAACAGTGTATGCAATTAGTATGGTAAACCTTGAACAATTTAACCTAAACAATTAACCTGATGGATGGTCACTATGATTTCAAAGAAGAGCCAATTAGTCAATTAATTACTTAAAATTGATTCTCACTGATTCTAATCATTATTTTAACAAACTGAACAATTCAAATTGTTGTCCATTACAATTAACACAAATGATCACAAACTTTTTGTCTAATACATATGAAACTGAATCTCTGGTGCCTTTGGGTTTAATAAACTACAAAGTGATTAATTTGGTAAAGAGTAATTAACAAATAAGGACAATAATTTGTGCGTCAATCGTATTAACAAATTAATTTTCACAATTAAAAAGCAACAATTAAAGTTGATTAACAAAAAAAGCACAAATTATCATCACCACTAGTCAACTTATCTAATGGAGTTAAAACCAAATTAAATTAAGTAACTGGATTGAAAATTTAATGATTATTACACATGGGAAAATAATTTAAATTATCTCAAGAAAATTTATCTTAATTGTATCAAATACTATTTCCAATTAACCAATTTAGTAAATCAATTAATCATCGAAAATATTTTTCATCATAAAAACCCAATTTAAAAACCGAAAAGAAAAAAAAATCCTTAACCCTTAATGACTTTGATTGCACACAAACAATTAAAACAAAATTTACTCTAATTGTAATATAAATTTTTGTCTCAATTAATAGTAAATAAAACAATCAATTAATCAACAATTAAAAGTCATATTAATCATCAATTGCAACGATTACTAATTATGCTAATCCAAACTGTTCCAGCCAAGGTAAACAAATTTTTCTCACTGTCTACCAATAAAGAAATAGAAACTTCAATTAAATCCAAAATTTGATTGTAATTAAATTATTAATCAGAAAGTAATTAATTATCTTGACCAAACAATTGAAATTAAAATTTAATCGAATTTAATTACTAACGAATCTAGTAGATGGCAGCAAGTTACCATTTTCCATAGAAAAAAATAACCGCGGATATGAAAAAACGGTTACCGGTTAGAATAACCGAAAAAAGTGATAACCGGGGAAACACAAAAATAAACAGAAAATTTTTTCACTCAATTAAACTGTTTGCATTTCAATTTTAATTTTTAATCAACTTAGATAAATTAGTGTTTAATTGTTTTTTTTTCTAAATCATCTTATTGTTCTCATGATGAATTTCCATCAATACATTAACCTTGTCCATTCTTATATTGAGGAAAAGCGGGGTAGCGCTTTGTCTCGTATGTTGACCTACCAGGACACTGAACATGCGACCAGTGAAATTATAATGAATGAAGTGAATCAAAATTATATTAACAGTAGAATCAATCCTAATTGGTCTCAAATTGTCTTTGGTCATATCCATTGTTGTTTCCTGTTGTTTAACGGTGATTACATAAATGCCTACAAAGAGCAATGTAATTGTGTTGCCCTTTTGAGTAAAGGATTGGCAGTGATGAAGGAGGAAAATTGGATGGCCCCAGTTATTTGTTTAATGGCTCGTGATTTAAGGTTATTAGCGATCGCTGCTGATATACAAAATGCTCATAAAAACTCTGGTAAATCAAGGGAAGGATTATATATTCCAAATGAGTATCTGGAAAAAGCGGCTGAACCATTGATGGCTTTATTCCGAGCTGTTTGTACCGATAACCGAACCTCAATTGATCGTACTAAAAGAGTTGCCATGATGAATTTGATTAATCAATTGTTTAAAATATATTTTAGGGTTAACAAGCTTCACCTTTGTAGACCTTTAATTAGAGCATTAGATTCATCAACCAATATGATGGACAGTTTTACCAAAGCTCAAAAGGTGACCTACTATTATTATCTTGGAATGAAAAATATGTTCGATTCAGATTATAAGACTGCCGATGAACTTTTATCTTATTCTTTCGCTAATTGTCATCCCAAATCTTTAAAGAACAAGAGACTCATCTTAATCTTCCTTATACCGGTGAAAATGCTCCTTGGTGTTATGCCGACTCAACAATTACTTGAAAAGTATCATTTGTTACCCTTTGCCCCGATTGCCAGAGCAGTTAAACAAGGAAATCTAAGTGACCTGGTCAATGCTTTGGAAACTTATTCAGATTTTTTCTGGAAATTTGGAATCTACCTGATATTGGATAAACTAAAGATAATCGCTTATAGAAATGCTTTCAAAAAAGTTTGTCTCATCATGAAAACACATCAAGTTCCAATTGAAGCTTTCCGAGTGATTCTTAAATTCTTACGTAAAGAAGATGTCTCCATAGAAGAGGTTAATTGTATTCTAGCAAATTTAATTTTCGAGGGTAAAATTAAGGGATACATTTCACTTGCCCATCAGAAATTAGTTGTGTCAAAACAAAATCCATTTCCACCGTTAACCCAAACATCCTGAGAGAAATAGAAGAAAGAAAAAAATTTATAATTCGAGTGAAATAATCATGATAATAGAAACAATCTCCAAACCAACAGAGCTGAATACTTTCTGATAATGATCATAATCATTATCGTTATCATGATTTTCTTGAAAAATGTTGTATTTTTCATGTAATCATATCAACATCATGCTACATATTCACAAACTATTTTATTATTTCTCTTGTTAACATTACTAATAATAACACAATATGTATATCTTTTTGCATAAAATCCCCTCAAGCGATGGCTAAATCATCATTAATCACCTATTTCTCTGCATCTCCTCCGTTATCACCATCATGTTTGAGAAGCAGAGAACCATCAAATTTAACTGATTACCGTTATTTTTTCAACAGAACAAAAATGAAATAAAAATAACAGAGATGCAAACAGTTCCTATTATGACAATAAGCTTCCACCGTTGACAAGTATATTTATTTTGTCATCATTTTTTTTTCCTCCACCAAAAAACCTTCTCAAGAGCCCATAAAGTAAAGGTAAGAAGTGAAGAAAACAAACTTGCAATGAACAGGAAAAGGAAGAAGAAGATGATGATGATTGTGAGAGGAAGAGAGATGATGATAATGATGTAAAAGAAAATAAATCTAAACAAAAACAAGGTGAGCAAAAGAAAAAGGAAATATCAAAATCGACAAGTTGCCTGAGGCGAAATGAACATGGATGAATCAGCAGTGAACAATTGATCCAGTGATTAAGAGAAACAATTTGATTAACCAGGAAAAAAACAGAACTGATCAGTTAGACACATTAAATTTGATTCAATTATCAATGACATAAATTAAGATGTGATAATCAATAAAACGGTTAACAATTAAGTTACTCTAATAAATAAGCATTGAGATTAATTTTCTGTCAGAAAAAGATGATTATTATTTTGTTTATCAATAGAAAAATGATCATTATATTGATATTAAATTACTATTGACGTTTAAGTTAATTGGATTTAATTTAATTGGCAAGGAAATTAATGACAATTCATATCAATTTGTGTGTGTAACATGACAAACAACAACAATTAACTTTTCTTTTCCTAATCTAATGGTCATGATTCTGGATTCAGAATTATCTCTCCAGACGATGAGTTTGTTTTTCTTAATTATTTTCAACTATATCTGATCAATTGGAACAATTTAATTTGTTAATATGTTGAAAATGAATTTTCATCTCATGAAATGACTCATTTCATGGGTGGAATGACTCGTAAGTGGAGCCACCGACGCAACTGAAGTTCATTTCATGAGAAATCAATGAATGAGAATTCAGTGTTATTTTGACTTGCAAGTGAATAACAAGAAGAGACCATGGATTTTATTATAATTGTGTTTATATGATCGTACCAATTGCCGAGTCAATAATTTTAATGAAAACAATCAATACCAACAATCAACAAAAGTTCATCATGTTATCGGTGATAATTCAAGTGTCATTTACATGATATTGGAACCAAAGGACTTTTTAATCGTTAACCATTTTCTCTCAAGGATAATTAAGGTAATCATTATGATTATTGTTCTCATTTTTCATTCATTTCAATTGATTGTTTTGATTGATTAGTTGATTGTACTTTGATGATACTGATGTTTAATTGCATTTCTTTGAACAATTTAAGCTTAGTTATTATCTTTATATCCGCCAATATGATAAAGTCTCAGATTAAGTGAAACGTTTGGTGAGTTTATTGTCAATTGATTGATTTTTTTAATCAAACTTTAAAGTAGTAGGAAGATTAAATCGATCAATTTAAAGTTAAAAGTTTGTCAATTCTTTGTTCAGATTGACAAAACATTGAATTTGATTCAATGAATCGAATCAATTCTTGATTCTTAGAAATTACAAACTGAGTAAATAGAAAACTCAATAGAAATTGAATTCGTATTGATCATTATTATTATCGTTCTCATCTTTGTTACATCAACATGAGATTCTTATTGTTATCTAATCCTAGTAGCGACAATAGTTACTAGTTAATAGTTAGAATCTCCATGTTCATGAACAGTCCTATTCAGTAAATTTCTATATAAATTATCGGAGTATTGGTCAGAATGAAACTTTTTTTGTTTCTTTTTCTCTTCACAATAAGTCAAAATTAGTTGATAGTTAACAGATCGAAAAACCTATTGAAAGATCAATAAGAATACTAATTATGAATTCGATTAATCAACTGACCCATTTGAGGATTTTCAAGAGTCAAATGATTCTAGTGGTCATTAGATATACTTTTTCATGACTGCTTCCACCAACCACTCCCATAGCAAATCAAAATGATATTATTGACTGGGTTTTCATTGCTATCGAAATGACCATTCACAGACATTGAAAGGCAAATGATAATTTCGTTTACCTTTTATTATGTGTATCTAATAATAACTTTATCAGATATCAGGAATTGGAATCATCATCAACAACAACAAAAACATGATGTAAGTCAGAGATGGAGGGAGAGGGAGAGAGAGAGAGAGTTAATTAACTTGATTTAATCAAAATGATCTATGAACAGAAATCATTGTCATTAACTCAACTACTATTAGAGTTTGAATACAATGAAACAGGGAAAGTATATTAGGTAACATTGATTATCAGTTACCAGGAAATCAAAAAGGACTCAACATGAGTGTATTGGTCATGGTGGAAGAGGAAATCACCTAATAAAAAGTTATCAGAACTCAATGGATATCAAGATGGCGATGACATTGTAACAAGTATTATCATGATGACGATGATGAAATTTTCTCAAGACTAACTGAGTTTAACTTGTTACAAACAGTTGAAATATAAAGATAATCATCATCATCATCATCATCAACATCTTCAATCTTCAGATTTAATCTTCATCTGATAATAATCAGAATGATGATCATTATTTACAAACCCCAGGGAATCTACTAGAACTGTTCACAATTACATGAGGAAATTTCTTCATTGATTCATCAATGAAAAGGAAAAATAGGAAAAATGAATGAGCGATTGTGAGAAAACTTTTTCTCACAATATCTCTCATGCGAAATAAATCCCTGATTAAATGACCTTTTTGTTATCCATTTACCTGACCAGTGTCCACTCTCAACCCTCCTCTCACTTTACTCATTTTCTTAATCAATTCTCACTTCTTTTTCCTTCTATTTTTCCATCATTTCCTTTTCCTTTTCCTCCCTCCATTCAGATCATTAGCAAATCTGTAAATTAAATCTGCTTAATCTTTAATTGCCAAACTATAGACCATCATCATGATACTCTCATTAGTTGAACATGATATCTATCATCATGAAACTGAAAAGAATAGGAATTCTCTTCTCCTTTTGTTTCCAATCATTTGATTCGATAAGTTCGCAATCTATTGATAATATTAACGAAAATCATATCTACATGATTAGATTCAACGAATATAATATAAAATATTGGTTAAAGTCATGATTCTGAAAAAATAATGAGATGGGAAAAAATTTTTTTCTTTAATCATAATCATTTGAATGGAGTTTTCAATTAATCATCTTCATGGTAATTCTGAATTGTTCATCGATTAGTCCGACTTATTATCATTCTCATACTTGATCCAATAATCAAGAAGATATAAAATTACTTTTGTCTAATTATTATTCAGGATTATTCTTGGCGATAAATTATTTATCATGAAAGAACACTGAATAAATTAATAACATTGAATTTCTTGTTATGTAACTAATTGAGTGTTAATCAGCAATTGGTTGAGTCCATTGATGAAAATAATATGAAAACTATACGAAGGATGAACAGTGGGACTTTCAGGGAATCGCTCCCATGGGTTTCAGATTGAACTGAATTTGGGTTCCATTCATTTTCCCTCATTCATGTTTCATTGTTGCCTGAAAATTTGATTAAATTGGCAACAATTTGGATTAATTGCTTGAGCTCTTCTAATATAAATTTTGCTGCCAATATATTGTGTTTGAAGGGAAAGCGGGAACTGATCAAGATGAATAACAATTAACAGGATTAATTGGAAACTAATTGTTTGTAAGTTCATTGTGAAAGATAATTATCTTTCACAATTTTCTTTTGTTTTAAAACAAAAAAGTTCATTCATCTACTCAGCGAAAATGATACATTGGGTAAAATCTGAAGCTGAATGTTACACCCAAAGTAATTTATTTCATCATCGAAATGTTTGATTCAGTTCCAACCATGAATTGATTAAACGTCATGCTGTTGGAAATAAATACAATTTTAATGATGAAAATGAATAATTTTCATTCATAAATATTGAAATGTTGAGTTGGAAAACAATTTCTTCTGAATTTAATAGCAAATCTCAAGTTCCATCATGAAATTACCATGGTAATCAGAGGAGAAAATATTTCTTTCCAATTCATATTACTAATTAAATGACGATTTAACAAATTGAATACAATCAACGATTTCCATTTAATCATGAATTTAATGGCACAATTTACATGATTTGTTTTAAATTCATAAATAAACAATAAAAGCGGAATAATTTAACCATTCAAATGTTTCACTGGTAGAATTGAATTGAATGATTAATAATTACAATCAACTGAGACTCAAGAGTTAAAAACAACAATTAATCAGATATTATTTTAATTATTATACCAAAAGAATCAGCTTAACAACAACTATTAGAATTTCAATTTTTCAAACTAACTGTTAATTGTTCAAGTGACCAATGAATTAATTGTAACGATTCTTACAACAGAGTTAAACTTATTTTCGCCTGTATCTTTTTCCTTGTCATTAGTTAATTAATTTGAGTCTCATGAAATTAGATTCATAAATGAGCATCAATATCACCATGAAGTGAACTGAGATGAAACAAAATTCATACTGAAAATGAGCCAGAAAAACAAAATCAATCATGATAAACAAAATGAAAGAATTGATTAGTTTTTGTCTATTACAACATAATGATGGTTCTGAGTAAACAATATTATCATCATCATCTTATTGAAATCAATGATTAATCATCAAAATTGTGCTCATGAAATAATTGATTCCATGATATTTTGTCTCTATTACTTCCTGATATAACATCAAACTCCTTTTAATCAGTTAACCAAGATTAATGTTTAATTGTGACAATTGTAAATCATTATCATTGATTATCGGTAATAAATTAGATTCCAATCATAAATCAGAACACTTTCATCATGAAATTTCATCAGTGTTCATCAAGGTACTTTAAGATACATCTATTAATATATCAATTCAATCCTTTCGACTCAGAATCCGAATCAGTTTAATTCAATTTAGATCAGATTTTCCTATTTAATTTAATAAGTAATTTAACTCTTGTGAATTTGAGACAATCTACTTTGAGTAAATTTGATTAATCCTTTAACTTGTAAATGTCTTAATCACATTACTTGAGCAATTAGCATGATTTATTAGCCAACATCTCGACCTCAGAATTAATGTTTAAAATTTATCTCATCAGATCTGAATAGATTAGACTGAAATCTGATCAGAAATCAGGGTGAAATCACCATGATAAAGTTTCAAGTATTGAACATAAACATTTACTCAAAGTTAATGTTAAAGTTTTCAAATGGTTTCGACTTGAATTTGATAAAGTAGTTTTCTGTCATTTTTGAAACTTATCATGAATTCATTTTCATGGATGGAAAAGTTCATAGAGCCACATGACGATGAGTATATATATTATGTCTTCTATTAAATGGTGATGATTGTTACACTTGAAATGAGCTATATACCTTTCTATAGATTCTGGTAGAGGCTCTTGCAAAACCGAGTATGTAATTTTCACCCTGAAATCTTTTCCATGAACTGAGCTCATAATTCAGTTTCCCTTTGAATCTTAGTGTGGACAAAATTTCATCTTATACCGTTATTATTATTATTATTATTATTATTATTATCACTATGAAAAGTTATCAGCTTGGTGAGTTTAAGGATAAACCAAATTTCAAGTTGATTTAATACAATCTATTGAATCAAATCTTATCTTATCATGAACTTTTCAGGATTTTGGTTCCTAAACTTGTTCAGTTGAATAGATAATGGTGATCAAATTATGATAAAGGATTGAGAAGAGGAGTCAAGAAAATGATTCTTTGAGATTGATTGATATTGTATCTGATGTTGAATTGAAGTGAAAAGTCATTGATGATTATCATGATGGTCAAAGTGATATTATTTCATAAATATAACCAATGAAACTGATTCAATGAACATTATCCATCCAAAAACTTCCTCACTTTTCAACTAACTTGATGATAAACACTAATATATAATATTATCTTACTGCTCTTAATGAATATTTAAGGTAATAATAAAGTTTCCCAATGATAATTTTGCTCAATTCCCACTGAGCTTTTGTTTACCATTGGTAAAAGTTCAAGATAGAAAAGATACTTATCTGAATTGTCATGATCACCATGATCTTTTAGGAAGGAAAAGATTAGTACGACAGCGAGATGAAAAAAAGTTATAATCTTCTGAAGATAATGTTGGAGTGAGAAAATATTATCAACATTTAT